GTTCTAGATACTTTAAGTTAGTTTTGCTGAGTCATTATTTATTACTGATATATCTGACATCTAAAAATGCATTTTAGATATCTTGATTAATCATTTAATTTAAGATTTCTTCAATTGGATATATGACTAGTCAGAACAAAAAGCAAGATATCTTGAAAACAAATTAAAACTAACTTAGAAATATCTAGAACTGTTTTCTTTATTTTTGATAACTTGAATTGGGGCCTCCATACAAGCTAATGTTAAATCTGAGTCAGAGTTAATTAGAGATATCTTAACCAACTAATATGACTGATCATAAATCAATTTCAGATATCTGGAATGCAAGTGGGGTAAAGTTGATTTTATGCTACAATGTCCTGCCGTAGAGCCGTATCATCACTATAACACACGTGTGTCCTCTCAGTCGTCAAAGCGCAGCGAGTCTGATGATGATCAAAAGAAGCCCGATGAGACAAAGCAGAAGGATGAAAAGAGAGAGAGTATGAAAGAAAGAGTGTGAAGAGCAGAGGAGTGTGTTTCCTCACCAATAAGGAAGGAGGAGATACTGGTGGGACCGAGGCCCAGCACTGAGCGCTGCGCCTCCTCTCTGGCTGGCTGAGTCTCTCCACAGAGGATCTGAAGGTGGGAGGAGAGCAGGTGGCCGAGGGCGGCGCTCAGCTGGGTCCACCTCGTGGAGCTGTCCACTGTTATCCTGCCCAGCACCGGGGGATTCCAGGAGGACCCCTGCGCCTCCGTCTCCTCGAGGGCTTCAACAGATCCCACAGAGTCCATTCCTCCGCCTGAACACTGGAGACGCACCAAGACCCGGTACCAACCTGAAGAAGAGTCACCGTTAGAGCTGAGCAAAATGATGCGAGGATAAACTACAATCAGGACACAAAATGGATTGTTTGAATTGTTTTAGAATAATTTAGACCTGCTTAATAAATAAACTAGAAGCAATCGGAGAGTGCAAATCTCCACCAAGACCAATTTCCCCATCCTGTAAGAGTTAATGCGCAAAAGCAGAGATGGAAACACATTTTCTGAATAAGTTCTGACGTAGTGAACATTTAAGCAGCAGTATGCACGAGATTTCTTCTTGGTGGAGTCCAGTGTGGAAAAAAAAAGTCAGACTCGTCACCCAACATTATTCATCGTCAAACTGGTGTGGGATTAAGCTCCTGTTTTCATCAGTCACATTTCACCATGTAAAACGTCTGTTTTATCCCCTTGTATGAGTTTGTAATGGTTTGACTCTCTTTATAAAGTGCTTCCTGGCTCCCCCGTATCCAAACTTTGAGGCCCGGCTCTGTTTACAAGCCTAGTTGTGAGAAACTGTTTTATTTGGTTGTTTCAGAAATGTGGTGTGTTTGAGGAAATGGGAAAAATAGGTTTCATGGTGCAGTCATGCACTTCCTGGTCACACAACGTTCTCTAATTGCGCACCAAATGTGTAAAAATGTGCACATTATGGCAAGACTCATTCATCATTAAATCTGGTTTTAACATTACTTTTATAAAGTTTGAAGTCTGTGCTGTGTAATCCAGTTCAAATGAACACTGAAAGCTCTCAGTGTTTTTTACAGAAGCCCTGTGAAAGCATCACAGCTTTGCCGATCTCAGAGGATTAAAAGAAAAACAAATTCCTGTGTCTGCATCGGGATCCGGAACATCATCAAAATGTAAAGGTGTGTTACTTGGGCCAGTACCCGTTTGTGGTAAAAATGTCATGAAAATCCGTCCACAAGTTTTTGAGTAATGTTGTCCACAGACAGAACGACAGACAGACGGACATACGCCACCGAAAACATTAGAATCCAAACCAGCCCCAAAGCAACCAGCTGTGTGTGAACCCAGCGACACTCAGAACACTCACTGAGGTTTTCCAGCAGGTCTTTGCAGTCGTCCGTCGCCACGTCATGAATAGTTCGGTTGCATTTATCCCTCCTCTCGATGTCCTGCTCACTGTGGCTGCACAGCACCTCCAGACACTCCTGTACACAGACAGACACAAACAGATCGCACAACAATCACAACAAGCCGCCCGCCTTCATTTCTACAGTAGGTTAAATCCTAAACATGAGGACGGCTGCTGATAATGTGCGCAGCCATGAGTGGGATTTTACAAGCTCTGCATCCAAAATTGAGCTGTGGTTTCAAAAACTGGTCCTTCAAAATTTAGTGAGGGGCACGCTATGAAAAGTTTATATAATTTCTTCCAATCTTGAGTCTCCAACTGGCACAGCTCAGTGAGATAAGAACCGGCTACCAGTTCTGGAGGCTCAGGGGAGGTAACTAAAACAGACAAATCAAAATAATCAAAACATAGGTGCCAAAATGCAAGAAAATGTATTTTTTTCTTCCCAAAATTGCCCCAAAATCAATATTTAGTTCATTATTTAAAAAAAAAACTTAACTGTGGGGTTTTATAAAAATAAAAGCTCTTAACGGAGTTAAATTTCAAATGCCATTTAAATGTTTTATTTTTATTTCAAGCTGGGATCTCTCTAAAAGATTAAAACTAGTATGTCTAAGCAGCTATATTGGGTGGTGGACTTTCCCCCAAAGATATGAGGTGCTGTTCATAAAGCAGCTTGTGCTAAAAATAACAGCTACGTTTTGTCACGTTTAGTTTCAACCTACGGTATGTTTGAAAAAGTAAGGTGGATTTTCTAAAGTCGCCTTTTATCACATTTAAATAGTTAAATCGAAATGTCAAAGCTAAATGTTAAAACTTAAAGGGGCAATATCATGTAAAATCAACTTTTTTTGAGTTTTATATCATGTTATCATGTTATACTCTCATAAAAAAAACATGTCCAAAGCCTTGCTCTGACTCATTCATGCATGTTTGAGAAATCCTGCAGCGTTTTTAGGAAGCCATGCTGAGGAGCAAAACGACAGGTGGGGATCAGAAACGCCTTTTGGGACCAGAAACGCCCCTGGGACGTGTCTTTAAGCCCAACTTCCTCATAGCAGAGCTCACCACACACACACACACACACACA